AACAGTATCTTTCTCAATGACTACAGGATCCATCAGCGAGCCGTCACGGTCGCAACGAATCATTGGTCGTTCCTCATTACCGATAGAAAACACTTTACTAAAGTATTCCGATAAAGCTTCAGCTTTTTTGGCATCATTCTCTGCTAAGATTAACGGATTTTCTCGTATCAAAAGTGATGGAATTCCATCACTTCTATTAGTTCGCCTTTTTATATACGAGAATAACTGTTTCGGACTATATCTAGAATCCCTAACCAATTGTTTTTTGTATGATAGTCTAGTCTTACTTATTAACGCTTTACAGGCATTCCTAATCTTACAATAACTGGATCTGTATTGTTCTAAGCCAGTAGAGATGAACATATCCCAGTGATTCTTCCTTTTTCTAAGGAGTTTCCTGACCGTTTTAGTTATCCATGGTGGACTATTATTCGGTCTTCGCGGTACCAGGTATGGTATGAACGGGGACGTAACTAGTCTAAATTTACCTTTAAATACAGACCATGCTTCTTCAACTGATATGCTAGTATCTACTAACCAATTTGTCTTAGCAGCACATTCCTGAATGGCTGATATGTTAGCTTTCCATACATTTGGGCGAGGTGTAACCTGATCGTATAACATGTCCCTAGTTCGAAACGTGAATGACAAAACAGCGTGGTCGCTGTTCACTAACGGCGGGAGAATATTTAAGTCGACAATATCCTCAGTCTCACGAGTGATTACCAAATCCAGCAGAGAAGAACCCTGGTTAACACCAAAACGTGTGGGTTGGGATAAATGCTGTACTAGTGCATGCTCCATTATTGTTATCAGGAACTTACTATCAAAGGAGTTTATAGATCCTGCTGTGGTCATATCAGTCCAACTAATATCAGGTGCGTTAAAGTCTCCTATTATCAAACATCTGGTATTTTCACTCCAAAGATGAATGTGCTCTAAAACAGTCATCAGCTAAACAGATTGGGCTGCGATAGATGACACCGAGCATAAATGTACTACATCCGATAGCCAACTTAGAGCTAATGACTTCACAAGTACCGCTATCATGGGAATCGCTAGTAGAGGAGCGGATATTTATGCTATTAGCTATGTATAACAGGACGCCGCCTCCTTTCCTACATCTATGTCTGTCACTCCTGATGCAGTGGTATCCGGATAATTCTGGAGTAATGTCTAAGTCATCGACTAACCAAGTTTCTGTCACTGCTACTATGAGTGGTTTTAACCTGTCCACTAGTGCTTCTAGTTCATAGAACTTATTTCGTAGACTACGAGCGTTAGCATATAAAACTCCTAAGTAGAACAGCCTATCCACACAGGCCTTGGTAGCATTCACTTCCAAGACCTGACTATCCGAAAACCCACTAACCGGAGATTTTCCTCGCCGTTTTGCCGACGGGTTTCAAGTTCAGCTAGTGCTTTCTTCCTTTTTATTCTATCTTCGAGAGATATGTCAGGTCTAACTCGGATGTCAGAATTGTCGTGACAACGAACGTTACTTAACAAGAGATCCCGTTGCTTCTCCGATCCTAGGATTGCCTTAAGGTGTCTGCATGGACGGTGTTCAACATTGTCCTCGGTCCTCTTGCCTATTCTTACCAACTTTTTAACCTGAACTCCTCTGGAGTTATCTGGTAAAATACTACGAATGTATTCTCCTAGTTTTTCTAAGTCATGCGCGTGTCTAATTTTTGGATCAGGGTCATTTGACTCCCGCAAATCGCTCACAATAATATTCGATGTTATTAGATTTTTCTTCTCAGTTACGCTAGGATGGGTTTCACTTTTACGATCAGATCTTGGTAGTGCAACTTGTGGTTCACAATTTGAGTCCACCATTGAGTTACTAACTACCTGTGTACTGCTTACAGTTTTTTTCTTTTCATTTCGTTTTCTACGTACCGTAGTCCATTTTTCATCCCTAGGAACACTGGGACTATTTGGAACGGTGACTGTTTTATCCAGATCGTCGGTTCCCACTAAAGGTGCATGATTAACAATGTCAGTACTAGGTGGTACTACTCCCCCTGTTAATATCAACGGAGATTTCACTTTCACGTCGTTCAGAGTCGGTTTTTTGAGGCGTTGCGTAACAACACTGACAAATTCGTCACTGTCAGTGCCCGTGTTGTCGGCACATATGCCATCATTCTTCTTACAAGCCAAAGCCAATAGGCTCATAGCCTCCTGTATTAGCAATGCCTTGTTGGCACAGCAAAACATGCAAAGCCAATGTGAGTTAGGCTTCGAACATCTTTTATATGCAGTGGGACTTAAACGGGTGCACATTTTGTGCAACCATTTATTGCATTCGTCACACTGCATTCCATCCTCCACAGGGAACAAGCAGTTTGGTTGTCCACATTTGTGGGTACTACCAACCATTTTAGTATGATCAAGGTGTAACACACAATATGATCACAGTATGAACCATAAGACAACTCTAGCAAGATGTCAAACCTTAACTAAAGTACTTTGATAACGACCAAGAATGCTTCCGAGTGTAATAAATACACAAAAGACAAAAAAAACTCAGTAAAATATCACCTTAACTGGAGTAGATTCAATTAAAGTGTAAATCGTAGTTCTGATACGTAATTTACGATCAAAACAGTTTACTAATTTAACGAGAAACAATACCACTGTCCTTTTTAGATAGCGCGCGTAGTAAAAAGTCACACCATGACCACCAGGTGACACTGTACATATTCTCACAGCGTTCCGTGTCGCTTGAACACTTGGTGCAATGCACAACACCGACCAGTGGCAGTGCCTTACAACATGGTCTCACAGTATGCTACTATGTGATGTATGGTGATGAGTGATTAAGTGAGTGAGTGGGTTGTTTCTAAAGTTCCCTATTATACTAAGCAACCCCATTTTCATTTTTGTATCCCTATTAACATTATTATTTCGATAATACAATGAGAAGGCGATGTATATTCTCTCATTGCAATATCGAAATTTATCAAATCAACTAATTGTTTTCAAACTATTATTCATAAACATATGTGGTTATTACGTTCACGAGAATAATACGGCGACTTTTAATTGTCATGTTTCCGTAATTCATTATGAGTGGTGCACGGAATAAACTGATCAGCATACATGACAGTAGTAGCATACTGTGAGACGATGTTGTCTGTGAATGAGACTAGGTAAGGCACTGCCACTGGTCGGTGTTGTGCATTGCACCAAGTGTTCAAGTGACACGGAACGCTGTGGGAATGTGCACAGTGTCACCTGGTGGTTATGGTGTGACTCGAGTGATTGTGAACAACTATGATGTTGGTGGGACTCGATCCGACGCGCATTAACACCGCAGGACAGATCCGACGCCTTACACCACTCGACCACAAGAAAAATGACAGGAGGTGCACAAAACTTATTCATCAGTATTAACATTTTTTTAAACTTTAACCTGCCTTTATCCCATTCATATCCATCTTTATCTTACATCTATTTAAACTGTTATATTTTCCACTGACCCTGCTCACGCTCATTTATCACCCGTCGTCTCTAGCTAAAGGATTCGAGGTCACCGAATGTTATCAGCGATTACTTGATGGATGCTACACTGGAAACTGCATGATGTAGCTTTTAACGCCCGAATACTGAACCAAATTCCACAACAGATTTCCTCAGCTGAACTAAGCGAAATGGAGAAACACCTAAGTGGATGTTATGGCGTTACGGCACAGAGAACAGATAACGGCAACCATCTGTTGCAGCTATGCTCAGATAACCACTTGTTTCTTGCAAATACTGACTTTAAGCATAAGGAAAAAGATGTTTTGACACGGCAACTCCCCAATTCATGCCAACGTTGGACCGAACTAAATCACATGGCTATCAGCCATTGATGGAGAGGCTGCATAGAAGACTGACGCTTGTTGTGGACCACATGCTTGGATTCACATGATACTCTAGTGCGAGCGCGTATTTGTATGCGTCTTACTGAACGTAGGAAAGATGCTGCAAGAAAGCCTGTTAGGGTTGTACTTAGTGATGATAGCCAAGCTGAGTATATATTTGAGGAACAACTAGGAATACACTGATCAGCATACATCAGAGTAGTAGCATACTGTGAAACCATGTTGTCTGTGAATGTGACTAGGTAAGGCAGTTCCAGTGGTCGGTGTTGTACATTGCACCAAGTGTTCAAGTGACACGGAACGCTGTGAGAATGTGCAGAGTGTCACCTGGTGGTTATGGTGTGACTGGAGTGATTGTGAACAGCTATGATGTGGGTGCGACTCGATCCGACTCATATTTAGTCCGTTCTTCAATCCCATTCATTCGAACAGGTGCAGATGAAGACAACTAGTACAGCTACTGCCTCTGCATTATTAGGCTTCAACATACACAAACGAGAAAGTAAAATCCTCAAATAAGACACGTAGAACATCAATCCAATCACATTTGATGGAGAATCTTTGGGAGATATGGAATTTTTCTCAATTAAAGCTCGACCCTCAAGGAAAACCTAGGAGCACTGTACGTCCGTTTCGTCTTATTGTGGGACCCCGCCTCGCGGGATTCAAACCCAGGACCTATCAATCTCGTATTCGTACTCTTAATCACTAGACCACTGAGCCGGCATCCAACGGTATTAATGTATGACCTCAACTTATCCACGAGATGTAATGACACATCCACCATTGTCTTCATTGAGTTACTATCTCACGACGGACCTAAATGAACTTCACTAACCACTGTTTCTCACTAGAGCTCCAGAATATACATCTTGAGACTGATAGGTCCTGAATTCGGATCTCACGAGACGGGTTCGTGGATGCATATTGCTGAGGAGCGCCATAACAGGACGAAAAGGCCATCCAGTGCTTCTAGCTCTTCTATGGTAGTCCAGCTTCAATTGACTCATGGTTTCAACTATTGAAATTACTACAATCTCCACGAACCCACTTCTGATACCAAAAAACATATTTTTCTTTATTATTTATTTATTTCTTTCTTCTTTCATTTTTATAATTTAGGTTCTTCACCTTCATTAACCTGTGCATTAAGTACAAATGGACATCCAATGAATGATAAAGATTTATTATCATTTTTATTCAGTACAGTTTTAACTTACATGGTACCATGTATTTTATTAGTCTTTATTAATTTAATACTACTTATTAAATTAATTAGTATCAAGTCAAAACGACGTATATTATGTAAAACAATGAATAAAAATATACAAGTTATTAATTGGTATAATACTACTACTAATACTAATACTACTAATAATAATGATCAAATCAATTTATCATCAAATGAATTGATTTCAATGAATCCAATCACACCGCCACCACCACCGTCACTACCACCAGCATTAACAACAACAAGGACATCATCATCAGTTGTCATAGCAACAAATGAACAAGAAAATTCATTGACATCTACAATAACAACTATATTACAACGTCGTCGTCATACAATCACAGAAGATCGTAAAGAAATTGGTCGGATTGTTGCATTATTATTATTATCATTTTTTTATTTATGTTTTACATTTCCAGTTAGTATTAGTTTAACTATAAGAGCTAATTTAAATTATAAACATTCAAATTGTTTACATTTATTATATGCACATTTATCACGTTTATTAACATCTATTAAAGATATTAATTATGCATTAAATGGTTATACATATGCTGTATTCTTTCAATTTTATCGTACGAAATTATTGAAAATTTTAACATGTAAATGTACTACTACTTCTAATCATACTACTCATACTTATACTAATACTACTATTAATAAGAACATTCATAAACATCCTTATCGTTATCGTCAAAGCAAAACAGAGAATTCAAAATACACTGATGAATAATATACAACATAGATGATATGGACCATGAAGAGAGGGGTGTGTGTGTGTAAGAGAGGGGGAGAGAGCGTAAAAAAAAGAAAAAAACATACATTTTTCACATTCCTTTATGTTACATTTTTTTTTAAAAATTTTCATTCGTTTCCTCACAAACTTCCACATCATTATTTTGATTATTCCATAATGAAGTGAACAACAACAATCATAATAACAAAAGAGACAATGCACAGTCCTCTTTTTCTTCTTCTTCAGTTTCTAGGCATAATGACATCATTAATCACATGAATTTCATATTTATTATAAAGAGAAGAAAAAAAGAATTTACTTATTTAATGCATTTCATATTGTGTCTCATATTTTTTTTCATGATGTTATGATTATTATTTTGTTTGTTTATTTTGTTTTTCTTTTCAACATTACTGCGCAGCAGTTCGTTCCGTCCTATTTTATGGCTATGAAACATGGCAGGTAAGATTAGAGGATATTCGTAAGTTACTAGTATTTGATCATAGGTGTCTTCGAAACATTGCTCGTATATCCTGGGACGATCGTTTAAGTAATGCAGTTGTTAGGAAACGGGTATTAGGTAAGGATGGCAAAACAATTGATGAAATAGTGAAACTTCATCAGTTGAGATGGCTGGGACACGTGTTACGTATGCCCAACTACCGACTACCTCGACGTGCGATGTTCAGTGGTATAGGAGTAGGTTGGAAGAAAGCTAGGGGAGGCCAGATCAAAACATGGCACAAATCCATGAAGTCAATAACAAGTGAACTGAACCATGTTGGTAGGTATAGACTGTCTGGTTAGGATCCGCGAGATGATAGCAATCGATGGTTGGAGACCTTGAATGACATGGCTGAAAACCGTTTGCAATGACGGAGGTGCATCCACTCTTTGTGTTCTCTTAAATTCTAATCTTCCGAGTTGTTCATGTCCCTTTCTTTTCTCTTTTCAAATTTATTTCACTGGATTATACCCCTTGAATAACATCTTCAAGCCCTGATTTTTTCGATTACTACTTATACTCTTACTACCTCTACCACTAGCAGATTTGAATCGACACTAGTATCTCTGTGATAATGTGGTATGGAAGCTTGAACTGATGTACGTACGTACGAAGTTCTACATTGTTATTGACTGACTGACTGATATAATGACTGATTATTGAATATAAGCTAATGTCATGTTTGTTTATTCATTAGTTCTGATAAAATTTTATCCCTTAAACTGTAATTAGACGATTGAATTAATTCAAGCAATATCACGTAAACTATACATTGATGTTAGATGAATGAAGATGATTGATAGGGAACCCTGAACTTATGTAACAAGTTAGTAGGGTTATCTTTAATCATGAGGGTATTGATGATTTCTGAGGGATTTTAACTCATATTACCTAGCCCCATAGTTTGAAACTTTGTCACTGACTTATTCGGGTCACAAATGATCTCCTGTAGGATTTAGATGTGTAAACTGGTTGACTATTCAGTAATAATCCTTATGATTGCAGAGATACCAACTAGTATGCAATCTTGATTAAGGATATCTTACTGACTACTTCTATACACCCAACATCAAGATATAGTTTAAAGTTTTATTTATAATTGAAATTAATAGGCATATTTATAACAATTTATTTACACTTACAGTTTGGTCACTATCACAGCTGAAACAAACTCTGGGCCCGTGGTCGGAGTCCCTGTTTAAGCGAACAATGAATGAGACATGAACATAAATTCTCCACTTTATTTCGCCTATTCTACTTGGGCTAACTCCGTTTGGACGACGGTGGCGACAAAAAGTCAAGTACGAATTGAGTTGGACGAGTTTATTTCAACCACTCGTTTACTTAGACAGATGTTAACATGAGAAATGGGGAAGGCCACCTAACTCACTTTAATAAAAACGTGATTCAATATTTACAGACATGAAAGATACAAGCAAGCATAAAGATATATCACAAAATTATGCTCCCATGATCAATGTCACACATATGAATGACAAAATTACTGAGAAAATCAGAACAATTAGTCTACCCAAAAGTAAGAATAAGTCTTATAGCCGTGTAAAAATGTTATTTGCTACAAAGCATCACTTATATCGATAAACATTGGTCATACAGTTATCACGAATTGGCTGAAACTGCCTTTGGATGCTAATGACCATCCAGATGGGATCAATCAGTAATGTAATCTTTAAACTGAAGAATCTCTACAAATCTCTCATAATAATACATGAATATTACATCAAGCGCTAGTATTTCATAACATCCAGAATTTATTAATTGAGTACGTATCGTTTTAATATGCGTTCTATGATAGAAAAGAAATGTTAAACACTGTAGGAACTCAGTGATACATGGTAACATATGCCAGCGAAATGCTCAATAACTGTTCATACAAGATAAACTAAAAGGTGATGCTAAACTATAAGGATTTCGATTATGATGAAGGTATATAGTAAAACAGTATGACTTCTACCGATCATGAAATAGACCATCACATAGGATTGTTCCTGATTGATTAGGCCATAAATAAACTGAAACAGAACATGTATTCCTATTTTAATGATGACATTATCAGCAGATATTTAAGCTTAGGTTTAGGAATAAGATTTAGGGCTATGACATAAAAGTAGTATTATGGTTTAGGATAATTGGGATAGATTTGGAAATTATGGGTCCAGGATTTAAAGGATAGTATTAAAATACACGCTTATTCTAACGATAAGCGTGAATCATAAACTCTACTAATTTAATGAAGATTGCACAACGAATTTATCATTATTAGGAAGTAAACAGAAATACCGATTCATAGTAGTAGTAATAACCTTATATTTTACATATTTAATGGATGAGTTCCGTCGCCGTTCTCTAACGTAAAACGTTTCAGTAAAATCGCAAAGTAGAACATGGCATATGAGTGCACCAGCTTAAGTACACACACTCCCTTAGCACAGATTAAACAAATCCCGAAGAAGTAGAGGTTGCAATAGTATTAAATAAGATCATGCATCGAAGGTACGAATAGAGATAAAATGTGAACTGGTGGAATGAAAAAATTTATTGGGGAGGGGGACTTAGGAGCTTGGAAACTAAGTGGAATCAAAGAATAGATGCACCTGCATCATTGTGAGCTATTTTAAGCTATGTCATTCGAAGTCTCTAACGACTGGTTACAATGATCGTATGGACTCCAACCAGATAGTTTGCATCTGCATCTGTATTAGTTCATCCTAAACTCTAGTATTGCATACAAGCGGCTAGACCCTGCCTAAAACGAGAAAATGAGCTGTTGTAAAGGGTTCAAAAAAGCACAGTCAAGCTGGCTCTCGGAATCGCAAAGCGTCTGTATTATGACAGACTGAATAAACTAAATTTACTTCCCCTGTCATATGAAAGAATCGGTAACTACTCAGTAATGAATTCGAATCCGATATGCCTTCATTTCGGTTGTCTTTCAAGAAACAGAGTTTACGATCATTATTTAAAAAGGTTTACAAGTTCAGGAAAAATTACTTGGCATTTGACTGTCAACTTTCCCATCAAATCATCAACAGGAGGAAATCCTCATTGTTGAAGCTACATCTGTGGACTCTTTCAAAAGAAAGTTCGATCAGATGAGTGATCAGCAACTCTAGGACTAATATAACTAATCTCATCTACTGTCTTCCGAAAACCGAATTTGAAACTGAATTCGACCCCAAGTTTGTCCATCGTCATGGTATGTAAGACAGTTTAACGCCGGCCTATTTGGTCTTCAAGGTCATGTTCGATCCTGGATCTTACCGTCCTAACCATGACCCACCAGCCGGGATGGAGCCATATGATCTTCCTAGAGAAAAAGATTTAGGAGCCCTCAGTAATGCTCAACAGGGAGAAACAAATAAGCTCAAAGTTAGAGTCAATTAGTCCTATATTTCTTATCAGGCCCAAACTCGGTTAAATAATGAGCTTTATTTACGAAAACATCCAGAAATAAAATACATGATAACTGCATTTCTGAGGTAAAAGCATTCTTTTATAGTACGATGTCTCGTAGAGATATTTTAACAAAACAGCCCGAAGACGCTAGAGAACATTTTGTTGGTAAGGTACATCTTAAGCTACATCTTCAGATTTTTTTACTGGTCCAAATCTTGAGTCGAATATAGACAATATCAAAAAAGAATTTACAGATCAGTATCATGACGACCAAGTTATACGCTCTTTGGCCCAAGAAGAACCGCAACCAGAAATCTAAGTTATGTTTTATTTAACGTTGGGGAAAAAACTGGGTGCATGTAGTTTGTAAATTGTTGAACACATTGATAAGTTTTGCTTCATTTACCTCTGCACTTCTATTTTTTGTTCATAAACATTTATCTATCCTTTCAGTCGTTTGTAAAGATAATTTGGATCATTCGATCCTTATTTCTTGTACATTTTATTTGGTAACAGTAGTGGCACTTTCAAGCTTATGGCGTTATTTGAAAGTAATAAAGGACACGTAAGTTTTCGGGTGGTTGGTCATCGTTGCGTATTAAATGTTATTGAACTACAATAAAACGGTCAGATTATGTTAAGGTTTGACTTGACTTTTAGTTTAAACAAGCCAATTAATGCAGATGTGCTACTATACCGCCTTTGGCATTGTGAAGGGGTTTGAATGTATGTGGTTACTGATTAGTGTGACATTATATTTTCCTCAGTATTGCTCTATAGCCAGAAGTAACCTTTTAATGAGACCCAATTATTCGATTTTACAGTGAATGAAATACATCTAGAACACCGAATTGAAATTTAATCATCAAAATCTAATCACTTTGTAACATACTATTGATCAATAAAATCACCAGCTGGGTAATTATTTCACTCTTGATTCGCAATTTGAACTCTACTAATGATGTCTTGCTAGAATTCACTGAATTCATCTGAAGGTTAGCTATACTAGTAAGTACGTAGGTGTTGTTTCTGTCATGATGTCAAAAAATATCGATGGTATTATTTATGTGTATATATTTTAGAAAGTCCATATTATACACATTTACATAACGCTAACTGACTTCATAAATCTACCAAAACTCAATGTCACTGTCTGTCTTTGTTTATAACCTTGTTGTGGAAAATTAATGGAAATGAAATGACATAAAGTAAGTATTCTGTACTAGTAAATGTTCGCTAGCTTCCTAAGGCAATAAGAAATGTTCTGAGTTCTTCTGGTCGTTCAAAAGTAGAATAATAGATTTTGGCAGATTACGATTACATTATGGTCGTATCAAGGTTGAAAACGTATGAACTATTTGATTGAAACGTGATGGATTAAATTATTATATTCTTCACGAAAGCTGAATTCAATTTTCTGTGAGATAAATGTGTACTACTGGGGATTATGAAGCTTGGCTTTATTTTCTATGAAATTTTTCAGCTAATTACAGTTCGTACTAAAGGAATCAACACTTACACTGTCATCCTACATACCAACTAAATGAATAAAAAAATGGTTTATTTAGTGAATAATCCATTTATTTATTTTTGCACATCGTTTCAATGGTGTGAGTTGTATATATTTCACCAAATTTTACTTCAGTAAAGTAGAGGAAATTGAGGATTTCATCTATAACTTATTGCACTTTTGAACAATTCGAGACGTAGTTCGATTAAATGTTTACATTTCTCACAGTACAGCAACTAATAGTATCCGTTATATCTAACCTATCAAGACTTTTAATACCGTTGTAGTGTATCTTATAAATAACTTTGCTTGACAATCATATAAACAGGAATTGGATCGATAGTGCTTATATTTTCGGTTCTATTACTAACATAATGTGACGAAGAACAGCAGAGCACGAAAGAATAACTTTTGAGATTTTTAAGGGTGGTGGTCCCACCTTATCAGTTAGTGTAACTGAGATCTTAGCAAGAATCTGGGAATCGGACTGAATCACACCTGACTGGTCTCAACCTCTGATCGTCCTAGTCTATAAAAAGGGACAACATTGCCCTTATGACAATCACAGAGGAATAAGTAACTATTATGGTATCTAAAATATTAGGTTCATTAACACTTCGACGTCTAACTAGAGCTTTTGGAAAGCGAATCTGAGAAAACAAAGCTTATTTCAGAAATTAACGTGGGTTTATAGATAAAAAAATTCACCCCTCAGCAGACTCTGGAATATAGACTTTTTGACATCCGGCTAAAGTTGTATTCCCTGACCTTAAGATGGCATTTGACTCCGTTGGTTGTGAGGTTCTGCGACTGTCTGGCATTATAAAGCAAATCAAAAAAGTACAATAACCTTGTACAGGCTCTCTACTCGTACACTAATTGTCGAGCCAGAGCTTATGGGGAACCGTGATATGAATTCGTTACGTCAATTGGTGTTCGTCAAGGTTGTCCACTTCCTCCATTTCTATTTAACTTTGTTATAGATATAGTTTAGAGATGACATTATCGTTTGCATTCTCAGAGTTTGATCTCCTATGAATTGGTTACTATCTTCTCAACTGAAATTATGCAGATGATGTAGTCCTGTTTGGCAAAGACGACAATATAAGGTCTTCTGACCACTTTAAGCAATAATGCTAGTGTGCTTGGAATACGTTTCTTCTCTCTAAGTGCAAAATTTTGTTTCAGGACTGGTTTGCATCAACGCTTGAATTAACGGTAGGGAGTGGGATAGTTGAGTGTGTCAATCAATTCACTCATCTTAGAAGTCTGACTATCCCGAAGGGTTGGTGTCTGACATAATCTCAACACGGATTCAGGAGGCTCAATTGACGTCTACCAACTTGCATCACTTATAGCCTAGGTCAGATGTACGTTTGTCAACTAAAGGGAGAGTTTGTTGCTCAGTGGTTTTCTCCGTTATACTTTATGGTTGTGAAGTGTGGCCATTAAGAATAGAGATATTCATGGGCTACTAGTATTCGACCATAAGTGTCTTGGAAGTATTGCTCGTGTATTTTGAGACCTTCTAATAAGCGATGCCTGGGCTAGTAATAGGGTACTAGATAAGGATGACAAATCGAGTGATGAGGTAATAAACCCTCATCCAATAGGGTGGTTAGGGCATGTGTTACGAGTGCTCAACCGTTGCTAACCTTGACGGGCGATGTTGTATGGTGTAGGAGTAGGTTGGAAGAAAGCCATAGGCGACCAAACCATGACATTTCAACAGTTCATAGTGACACTGAGTGCTAGACTAAGTCCTGTAGGCAGATAAAAACTATCTGGTTGGAGTCCATACGATCATTGTAACCAGTCGTTAGAGACTTCGAATGACATAGCTTAAAATAGCTCACAATGATGCAGGTGCATCTATTCTTTGATTCCACTTAGTTTCCAAGCTCCTAAGTCCCCCTCCCCAATAAATTTTTTCATTCCACCAGTTCACATTTTATCTCTATTCGTACCTTCGATGCATGATCTTATTTAATACTATTGCAACCTCTACTTCTTCGGGATTTGTTTAATCTGTGCTAAGGGAGTGTGTGTACTTAAGCTGGTGCACTCATATGCCATGTTCTACTTTGCGATTTTACTGAAACGTTTTACGTTAGAGAACGGCGACGGAACTCATCCATTAAATATGTAAAATATAAGGTTATTACTACTACTATGAATCGGTATTTCTGTTTACTTCCTAATAATGATAAATTCGTTGTGCAATCTTCATTAAATTAGTAGAGTTTATGATTCACGCTTATCGTTAGAATAAGCGTGTATTTTAATACTATCCTTTAAATCCTGGACCCATAATTTCCAAATCTATCCCAATTATCCTAAACCATAATACTACTTTTATGTCATAGCCCTAAATCTTATTCCTAAACCTAAGCTTAAATATCTGCTGATAATGTCATCATTAAAATAGGAATACATGTTCTGTTTCAGTTTATTTATGGCCTAATCAATCAGGAACAATCCTATGTGATGGTCTATTTCATGATCGGTAGAAGTCATACTGTTTTACTATATACCTTCATCATAATCGAAATCCTTATAGTTTAGCATCACCTTTTAGTTTATCTTGTATGAACAGTTATTGAGCATTTCGCTGGCATATGTTACCATGTATCACTGAGTTCCTACAGTGTTTAACATTTCTTTTCTATCATAGAACGCATATTAAAACGATACGTACTCAATTAATAAATTCTGGATGTTATGAAATACTAGCGCTTGATGTAATATTCATGTATTATTATGAGAGATTTGTAGAGATTCTTCAGTTTAAAGATTACATTACTGATTGATCCCATCTGGATGGTCATTAGCATCCAAAGGCAGTTTCAGCCAATTCGTGATAACTGTATGACCAATGTTTATCGATATAAGTGATGCTTTGTAGCAAATAACATTTTTACACGGCTATAAGACTTATTCTTACTTTTGGGTAGACTAATTGTTCTGATTTTCTCAGTAATTTTGTCATTCATATGTGTGACATTGATCATGGGAGCATAATTTTGTGATATATCTTTATGCTTGCTTGTATCTTTCATGTCTGTAAATATTGAATCACGTTTTTATTAAAGTGAGTTAGGTGGCCTTCCCCATTTCTCATGTTAACATCTGTCTAAGTAAACGAGTGGTTGAAATAAACTCGTCCAACTCAATTCGTACTTGACTTTTTGTCGCCACCGTCGTCCAAACGGAGTTAGCCCAAGTAGAATAGGCGAAATAAAGTGGAGAATTTATGTTCATGTCTCATTCATTGTTCGCTTAAACAGGGACTCCGACCACGGGCCCAGAGTTTGTTTCAGCTGTGATAGTGACCAAACTGTAAGTGTAAATAAATTGTTATAAATATGCCTATTAATTTCAATTATAAATAAAACTTTAAACTATATCTTGATGTTGGGTGTATAGAAGTAGTCAGTAAGATATCCTTAATCAAGATTGCATACTAGTTGGTATCTCTGCAATCATAAGGATTATTACTGAATAGTCAACCAGTTTACACATCTAAATCCTACAGGAGATCATTTGTGACCCGAATAAGTCAGTGACAAAGTTTCAAACTATGGGGCTAGGTAATATGAGTTAAAATCCCTCAGAAATCATCAATACCCTCATGATTAAAGATAACCCTACTAACTTGTTACATAAGTTCAGGGTTCCCTATCAATCATCTTCATTCATCTAACATCAATGTATAGTTTACGTGATATTGCTTGAATTAATTCAATCGTCTAATTACAGTTTAAGGGATAAAATTTTATCAGAACTAATGAATAAACAAACATGACATTAGCTTATATTCAATAATCAGTCATTATATCAGTCAGTCAGTCAATAACAATGTAGAACTTCGTACGTACGTACATCAGTTCAAGCTTCCATACCACATTATCACAGAGATACTAGTGTCGATTCAAATCTGCTAGTGGTAGAGGTAGTAAGAGTATAAGTAGTAATCGAAAAAATCAGGGCTTGAAGATGTTATTCAAGGGGTATAATCCAGTGAAATAAATTTGAAAAGAGAAAAGAAAGGGACATGAACAACTCGGAAGATTAGAATTTAAGAGAACACAAAGAGTGGATGCACCTCCGTCATTGCAAACGGTTTTCAGCCATGTCATTCAAGGTCTCCAACCATCGATTG